TATATACAACAACAAATTTCAGCAAAAGGTGATGAAATTATTCAATATACTGACTCACCCCATAAGTGAAAAAGTGCAAAATGATGGCTTGGCTTTAGTTCACATTTGCACGTAAGGAGCCCTGATATCTGCATAACCTCCATCTGGTCTGTAGCCCATTTCATAACTGGAATAATCCTGGACCATATTGTACACAACATGCCACGCTGGGAGACAAAGACAGTAAGTGAAGGTACCCGAGCTGTGCCAGCTATGTGTAAATGATGCATATTTGAGTGAGAGGTCGACCTCTAGTGACCTCAATGCCAAAGACTAAAAACAGAAATATACAGAAAACTCACAAAGTCACAATCACTCCTACTCAAAGAACAAAAGAGTGAATTCACATAATGACTTAATGAACAACAAAACAAATTGAAATCAAATGAAATCAAAGATAATATCAGTGCAAATATACACTCTTTATTCCATCCATGATTGAAATTAATGCAACTCAAAATTCAGATTTTTTTCGTGTATGACGGTTGCAGGTGGACTGTTTCATTTCACTCATTAAAATGATGCAATCCTCCACTTCATGGTGTTAATGCGAACTACATATTTCTAAATTCTATAAAAGTGTATTATTGTTTTATGGGTTGTGTAGTAATCAGGTGCTTCAACACGTCACACACTTATGCAGACTCAGCGGAGGACATCTGGGAAGAAGAGGAACGTTAGACAGACCAACTGACAATATGTTCTCTGAAGTCAGCCCGTTTGTTGTCTGTGTTGGCATACTATACTTTGACATTAATAATGACATTTTATATGGCACATTTTTTATGACATTTTTTTGCATTTTAATGCCATATACTACAATGATATTTTAATGGCATACTATACTATGATATTTCTAGCCTTTTTATGTAATACTGTACTAATCATTATACTTTAATGGCATATTATACTGCAACATTTTGAATGATATTTTTATGCCATAATATATTAAGTCATTTTTCTGGCATATTTTCTGCCAAACTATACTGTGGCATTTCTCATGGCATATGATACTATGACATTTTTCATGGCATTTTTATCTCAAATTATACTTTACATTATTTATGAGATTTTGATGTCATATTATATGATGATGTATAGTATACAGTGACATTTGTTGGGCATTTTATGGCATACTATACTATGAATTTCTTATGTCATATAATACTGTATGGCATACAATATTATTATATTGTTTATGTCAATTTCATGGCAAACAATACGAAGACATTATTTATGACATTTTTTCTGCTCCCAACAAATGACTGAAGGTATTTTTGGGAACGTTCTGATAGCGTAACAGAGCATTCACCAAAGGGATTCTTCATTTCTTAGCTGTGTGTGATATCTGCTTGGTTAGATAATAACGTGTGCACAGATGCTGTTTTTCAAAAGGACTTTTGAATGAGCCCTTTGACTCTCTCACTATAACTAATAACAGTCCTCAGGCCGGTGCAGTTAGTATTAACCCATAGAGATGAGGTCTGCTATGTAGAGAGACACTGAGGAAAATATCTTAAACACGTTTCTGCCCCTCTTTCTTCTGATATGTTGTCTGTATAAATGCTAAGTGTTGAGTGTTAAGAATTGGTCTCAGCTCCCAAACATATATAAAGTTGAAATAATGTATAAAATATGAGATTTTGTAATGAAAATATAGTGCGTCTCTTGCTGTCTCTCGCGTGCCTCATGTTAATGTCAGGAAAACAGAACGAGCCAACCGAGGTTACTGAAGGTCAGCAGACCGTTCTGATTTGTCAGTTTGAACTTGAACTTGGTTGACCTATTGCAAAGCTGACCTGTGGTCAGCGAACTCTTGAGACTCTTGGAAATGGATTTAGCTGAGAAGCAGAAGTATTGTATCACCAAACTATCGTGGAGACCTGATGAGCTTGGAAACGGCCCTCAGTATATATACTGTATAACTGACAGTGTGTCGTCTCTGTGCTGTCGTCCAGGAGACGCAGCTGGTGGCCTCCTGCCAGGTAAGAAATAACTCACCTGAGATCAATACAATGAACATTTCGTCTGGGTGTACTGGTGTTGTGTGTGTGTGTGTGTGTGTGTGTGTGTGTGCTTGTAGCTAACCGTTGTTGCTCCTTCTCAGGCTGACGACAGTCTGGTGAGTGTCATCAGTCACCTGGGCTCCAGAGGGAACAGAGGTGAGGTGATCACACTATTGTGTCGTCCTCGAACAACTTTTCAGACACATTATAGATACATAACTGTTGATCAGAGGTAGAAACATCCATCAAGAGATATACCTCCTTATTGTAACTGAGCGGTGAGGAGGTTGTTATTTTCAGTGAAATTGATCAGTTGACTGATGAGCACTTATCACTCATTTTGTAGCATTGTTTTCCACAATCTGCCACCTTCTAAAGTGTCTGTAGACGTCAATGATCTTTTAGTTACAAGTAAAACATGACATCTTGTGGAAGAGATGTTTTCTTAAGAGAAGAGGAAACATTATAAAATGTTTCATGGTCATGATATTCTCTGAATCTCTGTTGTGTGACATCAGTTTTAAGTCAGTTAAGCTTCGTGAGCTCCTCGTGTTCAGACACCTGATCTAACGGTGATGTTTCTACTGTTGGGACACTTCAAGAGTGAAGGGATGCACCCGGAGGCGGAGCTGGACGACCCCGCTGACCGCTGGCTCACCTTTACTGACTCAGAGGTCAGGGAGACTGCCGGGGCCTCTATCTGCAAGCGTTGCCAGGAAACCGCCTCCTGTTCCACCAACCAATGTAAGAGGACAACACTGAGTCATCCTGAAGTCACACAGACATGTCGTGTAAGTCACACAATCATTGTCTCGTTCAGACCAATTGTTAAATCAACCAACTGTGTCCTGACTGTGTGTTGTGTGTCCTCAGATGAGCAGCCTGGGGAAGGTGGGACTTTGTGTGGCGAGCTCCAGAGGGAGATCCAGCCCAGGTGAGCAGCCACGGGGACTTCACAGGTAAGTGTGTTGTTTCCCTCCCCGTTGTCCCTCTGCAGGTGGTGGAGGTGGAGTTTCAGGACGGACTCGTCTCGTCTCCGGGCCTGAAGCAGCAGGATGTCCCCCAGCCTTCAGGAGGAGGGCTTGGCTGGCAATAAATACAAAGAGGTAAATACATCACAAGATGTATGTGTATTATATTTACTTTAAAAGTATTTTTGGTTAAAGTCCCATCATTTCTTTCATTTTTGTTATGTGTGTTATGTTAAGTTAATTAAGGAAGAGTGAAAGAAAAAGCACAAATGGAAAGATGGAAAAGTCTTTCTCCTACAAATGGTGTTTGTATGCTACCACATACCCTGTATGTCCAAGTAACAAACACATTCCTGTCCTACAGATGAACAAAGACTTACAAGGATACTGTCCTGCCTGAGTCTTCAAGCATGCCACAGCAGGATGACTCAGACCAAACTCAGAGGAGGAGCATTGAGTCAGAGCAGAGTGTTAATGGACCACATTCAGGCCACGTAACAGTGTGAGGAATGATATCAGGGTCTTATTAATACAGCATTAATAGTTGTTTTCTTTCTCACTTAGATGCTGCGACCAAAAGCAGTCGGGCTGTGAAACCAGAAGTGGAAGCTTGAATGAAGCCAGAGACAGGGATGATGGGAGGACCAGAAGAAGCACGGGAGGAATGTTGTCTCAGACGTCCACTGGTGTTTCTGTTAAATGCTCATTCAATGTGTGCAATAAGATGCAAGGTTTCAAATAAAATGATCACTATACAAAAACCTGTTCACTACTCACTGATAACTGTTCATTTAAAAACAACTGACTGTTATCGATCATAAAAGGAAAATGTTTTACTGATGGCTCAGGTGTGAATTGGAAATGATATTTAGTTTTGATAAGGAATAGCCCTCAATAGCCTTCAATAGTTAGAAGATTATAGTAACTATTAATAAATCTGCACACCTCCTGAATATGAATTGGCAATAACCATTGTGGTTAAAACAAGCTCTAAACTTAAACAAAAAGATCTGAATGTTGCTTTAACATTTTAAAGTTACACTTGACAGCAATATTTGTGGGATAATCATATTCAAAATGTTTTTAATCCTATAATATATTATACCATGAAATTGCCATAAAAATAATAATATCATAGTATAAACACAGCTTTTCACAAAAATGCAATAAATAATGTTGTTGTATAGTATGCCTTAAACATGTCATTAAACATGTCATGTTATTGTTTGCCTTTAAATATGATTTGTATGTAAAAGTGTGCCATAACAAATGTTACAAGTGAGTAAATCATAAAAATGTCAGATTGTAGTATGCCATGAACATGTCATAAATATTGCCATTGTAGACTATGCCATAAAAATGAATGAATAATGTATTTAAATACCATGAATAATGTTGTTGAATATAATGCTATAATAAAGTCACAGTACTATAGTATGACATTAAAATTAAATGAATAATGCCAAAGTAGATTATGCCATAAAAATGCCTTAAAAAGTCTTCACATCACTAAAATCAAATCATTCGACAATAATACACTTTTTATGGTAATATTCATCATTAGCAAGTATATTACAGACTAAGTAGTAAACTAGATCCTGTTCGACATACATACATACAAACAGGAAGTGGCGCTATGCACCTAAAAGTTATTGCAATCTGCCAAAAAGGCAAAGAAGAAGAAGAAGAAGAAGACCGCACTGGAATTGTTTCATGTCCATAAATAAAATGAGAAAGATACGCAGGATTTGGACAAACATGAGGACTCTTCCATATTTCCCACAGATGGTGTAAGCACCAGTCCACCTGCACCCATGAAATATACACAAATTAAATACAGTCAAATACATCATCAGAATATTGAGTTGCACTCATTATAAGTCGAACCATGCTGCACACATACCACATACCTTGGTGCATGAAATAAAAAGTGCCTTGACAGCACAAGAGGGGAGCAGTTCTTCTTCTTGTAGATTTGATGGCCTTTGGCATCCATGATGTTGCATTACTGCCACCTTCAGGTTTCATCAGTCGTCCTGAAATAACCACGTCCCCCCAGCTCACTGTCTCCACTAACCCTTTAACGCTGCCATGCTTTTCTGTAATAGTTTGATCACTTCCTGTCCCTCCGGTGTAAATTCTCTGCATGATAGATTGCAAAAAGATTTCCTTTGATAACAAGTGTTCTGTTCAGGTTTCTGTGTCCAATGTTCAACCTTATTACCGTTACTTCCTTATTCCACTTTGGTCCCATATGTCTGAACATCCCTCTGACATTGATACCCTGTCTGCTCTCCTCTCAGGATACCGGTGTGCTGCGATTGTTTTGCCAAACCATTGTGGAGTTAATATTCACAAAGCAGATCCTGATGACTTCTGGCTGTAGCTATGATGTAATATTACTGCAGCTGACCTGTTCACTTCCTTTTAATGTCATCCACATGGTAACAATTCAACAGTACTCACATTCAAACGATCCTCTTGTTAATCCCACCTGCTGCATGTTTGCTGCTCATTAGATCCATCTGTAGAGATCTGAACACAGGCTTTAGGATTATAATCCCTATAGAAGTCTTTGCTGTGTCTTATTCCTGTGCTTAATCTTAAGTAACTCAGACGGGTTTTTTTCAACTGTAATTGTGCATTTTCTTTATTTGTAGAACTGCAGACACACTGTGGTCCAGCTGCTCCTGTGCAGCTGATAAGAGAAACAGACAGCAAAGCACTTCTTAGCTCAACATCCCCGTTTGACCCCAGACACTCACTCACACAAAGTCATTGAGGAAAATCATATTCGATTAGATACATATTGGAATATCTGTGGGCCTCACAGCTTTTCTTCCCAATACTCATAAGACTCAGCGAGGTTTGACTGAAATATCAAGTGTTTGCAGGTAATCTGCTTTAAACTGGGAGAAGGTGAAATCTTTTCTTTCTTTTGGAGATGAGCCATTAACGTTCCACTACAGTTAGAATCACACTCCCTGTCTCTGTATACACACACACATGGATTGGTTTAATTATTCTCTCCAGCGGCTTTGTAATTAGCAGCCATTATCAGGTGCAGCAGCATTGTTTCTCTTGGTTAATCAAGCCCAACAGATGAGTTCTAAGCATCCCCTCCATGCTCCACGTAGCCTTTAAACAGCAGGGGTCAACAGAAGTCCTGCCCACAGGCCACAGAGGGACAGTGTAGTGCAGATACCTCACTTCCTTCACTTCCACAGAGACTGACAGAGTGAAAAACCCTCTAGGAGAAGCTGCGGATACATCCTGTATGGTAGATGTTTCACAATAAAATGTAGCGTGTATGAAGGTGTTTTAATTAAGACAACATAAGAGAAAACATCAATGTCAAAAGGGGAAAATAAGTTCAGCTTCAGTCAAACATTGTTGCAGACAACATGCAACATGTCAGGAAGTTATATTTCACAGCTCGGCCAGGACGCGTTCCAAATGTAAAACCTGATTTCAATCAATTCAAAGTTCTTCTTCAAAATTGTAAAATACATCTGTTAAGTGAACAAAACACAAATTCTTAGAAATGTAAAACATCTACCACATTAGTGCATTTCTATATAAAACATAAAGCATGCAAAGACTAATCAATGCAGCATAACTTTCACAATATCTTTTGTTGAATGCTTCCTAAAATTAAAGTTATTTAAAACCTCAAGTTAGCTCAGTTAATTGTGAACAAAGGACTTTTAAACAATAACTTTTTCTACTTCTGCTATTCTGAACTACAGAATATTTTGTCTGATACAAACATAAAAAGTGTAAAAAAAATCTTAAAATATAAAAAAATGTAAATGAATAATCCCAGAATAATCTGGAAAGGCAGAAAATGATTTGCAATGCGTTTGAAATTCTTTAAATAACATTTGTTGAATATGCAGAATATATATACACTTGATCAGGAAAACAGTCTGTACAAAGTCCCTCTGCTCCGCTCTGTGTGGAGGACTCTAATAAAACATGCAACACAATGAAGATAAGAAACAAACGTGTGGACAGAAAGCTCCAGCGCTGCATTCCTTCTTCCTAATGACTGATTCCTCACCGTCTCACATCCTGTCGTTGTGTCTTTCTGGCACTTTTCAAAACACAGTGAAAGCATCCCGAGGGAAGTCTCTCATTACGCTGTTCTCTAATGAGCAGAGAGGATACGGGAGGGGGGGAGACTTCAGAGACTGGATGGAAGTTATCTAGATTGCCCTGAGGTAAATTGGGAAAACTATTACAGATGTCTACAAGCAGCGTGTCTTAAACATCACGGAGCTGGCTCCAACTATATTTCAAATCCAGATATGCATTTATTCTTGACTGGGAAATCAAGTCAGCCAGAGTCGTGTCTGTCCGTTTGTCTGGTCGTTGCTGTGAGGTGTTTCAGCCACGTTGTATCTTTCAGAGTCCCTAAGCGTCGAAGGGTCTGCCGTTCCTGCCAGGATACTGGGCTCTGCACCGAGCCTCCATCTCCTCCACCCAGGCCGAGCTCCAGTCCCACGCAGGGACCGGCTCCAGCTCGCTGAACAAGTCGCTCTCCGTGCGGAATGCCAGATACGACGCGCTGAGGGGGGAGGCTGGCGGGGAGAAGTCTGAACACAGAAGAGGAGGAAACGACGTGTTGACATGCATTTCAATATGGAGTGGAGGGATTGTATTGGAACAGAAACCTCTCTGCCTGTGGAGAAGGTGACAGAACGAGTCAACATTTCTCTGAGGAGCAGCTTTTAATGCCAATTCTCTGAGGGAAAGCTCATTTGAAGCAGCCGTCTGTCACTGACAATAGAACGATTCCAATATGTCGGACGCACCAACACAAACAACAGCCTCGCTCTGCATTCTGAAGGTACTATTATACTCAAGAGGAAAAAGAACATGCAGTGACACAGATTTAATTCTTGATTTGATGCATATGATCGATCGGCTCATATTCATCGGTGGTCTCTATGAATGCCGATCAGAAGAACCAAAATGACGGCAGACACTCAAGACGATTTCTCTGCGTGCCGCTAATATGTCTTCACAGGTCTGGACGTTCTACCTGGTGTCTGAAGAAGACAATACATTTGCAGGGTCTGTGGAAGAAAGCAACCGAAAAATGTCTCCACCATGGATCTCAGACATTTGAAGGCGAGTCACGTCAAGGAGTATGAGGAGACTCTAGATGGTACTGAGGCAGAGAGTCTCCACTCACCCAGCTGTGGATAACACAGACATGAAGCAGTGTCTCTACACTTAGTAGTTCTGTTTACAGTGTTCCACACGTGTTCCATCCCAGCTGACATTGGGTGAAGGCAATGGACAACAGGGCCGACACACATAGACAGACAACCATTCACGCCTACGGGCAATTTTAGAGTCAACAATTAACCTAACCTAAGCCGGAGAACCCGGAGAGAACCCACGCTGGCAATGGGGAGAACATGCAAACTCCACACAGAAGGACGGACCCGGGGTGACAGTGCTAGCCACTACACCAGCGTGCACCAGAAGTTCTGCTTAAGAGAGAGTTGAAAATGTCGCACATGTTGCCTGCCAATAAATAAACAGTCGTTAGATCATGATGCTTTCTCGTCTCTTAATTGTAATACTTAATATACAATGTTAAGAGTAGTTCAATGAATAAATGATGCTTTACTATAAATAGAATGTGATCGTGATGGTATCGGCCGATAGGTCTTCCAGTGATTGGTGATCGACCCCAATCTCCTGATCGGAGAACCCTCACACACAGTCTCCAAATGTCAAAGAGGAAAGAATGCTCCAGCTCTGGGTAAGAGAGTTGCCATTAGGAGGTCGGTGTGACCTGATCTGAGGCTTTGGACCCGAGTTATGAGTTCAACATCAGCCATTGTGAGACTGCATTATCACCCGCTGACAGCTGCACTCAGGAGGTTTTCACATTGCACTTCTGTATGTGTGAAGGATAGCGGAGGCACAGAACAGCCAAAAGGGAGAGTTTTGGTAAGTGGAGAGAAAAGCTGAACGCTGCCTGCAGATGGAGAGCAGAGTGAGTGATGGGGGGACGACTCATCTGGAGGTTCAATTTGGTGAAAGGTCTTAAGTAGTTGCCTGGTGACACCTTAGATGTTAGACTTAATATCATGTCTCCTACACCAAAGACGCTGACGTACAGTGAGATGTAAAGTAGAGGATGTGCTCGCATGCTCTCTAACCTCTACCCGTCTGCTTTACAGTGATTTACAGTCTTAGCCCTCAAAATGATGAAAACGCTCAAAACTAACCAACAGATTTCCTGTCTGCTCCTCCCTACTCTGCTGATGAGGCTGCATGTCTCCAGCTTGATCGTCCACAGACAGAGGGGCCCATCTAGTGGAGGAATGCAGTACACACAACAGGCCAGGACCCTCTGCCACTAGCCATTCTCTTCTGATGTTTTAGTCGTTGTTTTTGACACATTCAAATAACACTAAAGCTTCAACGGAGGCTTGTTTTCATTATTGAATAATCTGTACATTATTTTCTAGGTTACTCAATTAATCCCAGTTGCTCCAAGTCCGAGTCCATGTCTTTAAATGTCTCGTCCAAAACCCAAAGACATTCACTTTATTATGATGTAAAACAGAGAAAGAAATTGAAATATTTACAGTAAAGAGGCTGAAAAACAAGCATCTTCTGCACATGACGATAGAAAAGCACAACCACTGTCCTAAAGGAGAAGTCTGGAGGGTAGCAAGCCTGACATACCTTCTTCCTCTGAGCCATAGAGCTCCATTAACAACACAATAAGCCACACTGAGTGACATATTCCTTCATCCCCATGAACACACACACTGTAGTTTGTTTTGACTCGAGCCAACACACACAGCCCTGTTTATCCAGACTGAACAGAACCTGTTGAGGAACTATTTGTAATAAGCATCGTCCAGTAAAAGCACTTCCTCCTCTGCTTACCTGACAGAGAGGCTCCACTCATGGTCTCCGCCGCCGCAGCCAGCAGGCGGGCGAAGTGTGCGCTGTCGTTGGTGTAGCAGCTGTCCACCGAGCTGATGAGGCTGGTGCGAGCGCTGGCCATGTTGCTGTCCGTGACGGAGCTCCAGGTGTTCCACAGCGAGCTGTCCCATTCGCTGTAGCAGGAGGAGGGTGTGCTCCGGAGGCGGGCGTGTCGCAAGCCTATCGGCGGGAACTCAGGCTCACCGGTGGCAGGGTCAGCGTACTGCTGACCGGAGCGGACTGGGCCACAGATGTAGCCCAGGGTGGGGGAGAGGTGGTGCTCATGCAGGGCACTGCTGACAGAGAGAGGCATGATCACATGAATATATGCACTATAAATTACACTGGCATGGAAGAGACCAATGGTTGCATTAATGTTGACATCTACACAATAACTGTTGTTTTTTCTCAGACACAAGAGAAGTGAGCTGGGATCAGAACCAACTAGGACCACCAGCTGTGCTGCATCTTTACCTGCATCTCTCAGGTTTCGGGCTGAGCTCCAGGTACTGGGCGGCTTCCTGTGCCGTCAGCGTGCCGCCCTGTTCTCCATCCACTGACGTGGAATAGGGCGTAGTAGACAGGTGGCTGTAGGAGGGGCAGCCGTGGTCGGTGGCTCGTTGCTGCCCACGGCAGCCTGACGCAGCACACACTGACTGCAGAGAGCCCATGTCCCCTGTGAGCTTCGTAGAACGACTGGAGCTGAGGGACATGCGAGAGACGGGCGTGTAAGACATGTCCTCTCAGCCAGGTGTAAGACAGAGTCTCAGAGTTGTCTTTGTTCCACATCATGCAAAAAACCTCTACATCTAAACATGTTGACTGTAAGTAGTCTTACATCGCTGACTGAGAGGCTGAGTCGGGACATTCCTGTAGGACAGAAGTAACACACTGAACTGTTGTTTAGTAACAGGGATCTCTTTCCTTTATTTGACAAGGAATACATAAATAATAGGAAACTGTACAGCTAGAGATCAATACGCACATCAGCAACAACTCCAAACCAGATCACGGAGCAGATGGCGTGCTTGTATACTGATCCAGTCAGACTATGATGAGATGGAACATAACAACTCTATAATTCTGCACCTGACAGCTGAACTGCTGTCAGTGTTGGGATCAATAATAACTTTAGGGTCAATCTGTTTCAAAATA